TGTTAGAAGGAAGCTTTGGAGTTTGGGTTTTGGTTGGGTGACTTGTGGGAGAGTCTAAGGAAACAGGAATTGTCTCCAGACTGGGTGCTGTTGGAAAGTGGGGCAGTTCCGGGATTGGGTATCTCAATGAATCTTATCTACAGGAAGGGGAAGCTGGAATGAGGAGAAAGCAAGCCAGAAATAGTAAAGAAGTAGCAGTCACTCATTTTGGCTGAGAGGGGAGGTGTGCGGCATTTTGTGGATGCCACAGTGACCCATTTTTGTCTGCGCTTTGCCAAAATCACGAAGTGGCCTGGCATTGTGTCATTTTATTCTGGTCTCAGGGCAGCCTTGTGTGAGGCTGGTATTCTGGGAAATTGTTTATGTCTCCTGGGAGAGTCACATGGTCCAGCTGTGAGCCCCAGGGCAGCTTCTCCATGTCAGGGGTTGCTCTTCTTCCTTTCCTTGTAGCTTCAGTTATTCTTGATGTAGGAAAGACGTTAGGATTCGAAGCCAGTGGCCAAGAAAGAATTTTTGAGACGTCTTTGGTGCAAAAAGGTGCATGGGGACAGGACCTGTGGGCAAAAAGAGCTGCACTGGGTTCAGGAGGAGCGGCCGGATGTCTACTTTCAAGTTGGGAGAGGGTTAGGGATAGCATAAGTTTCTAAGGAATTTTGGAAGCAAGGTTTCCAGGACCTTGAGGGGACTAGCTATTGTTAGGGAAAGGCCATTTTTACCACCTAATAAAACCTTAGTCATGAGACCCTTGAGATGTATATCGGTGGGCCACATACATAGGGGGTGATTGCCAACACATCTCTTGGGGTGTACAGACAAAGGAAATTTCTAAAGGAATTTTTATATGTTAAAGTAGACTTACAGGATCCTGGGGGTGGAGGCTTGGGGGGAGGGGAGTTGGACTAGAATTGCCTTTTGCCCTTAGCGAAGTATTAACAGGGAGGCAGTTGAGTCCCTAGGGGAACGTCACTCTTCCTGTTTCAAGGACTTGTCAGTGGGCTCTAGGAAATCTAATAATTTTTCTTCTGCCTTGGTCTCACACATTCTTATTCCAGAACTGGCAGATCTCACTGGTTTATGTGTGCCCACTGCCCCTTTGCAACAAGCACAATCCACTTTTAGGCTGGGTAGGTTAAGAGAGTGAACATAAAGGAAATACTCTCCCCAGAAAGGATGGTTCACTAGTACTCTTTGGTCCCCTTTCTAAACAACTGGCTCTTGTGAGATCTGATCCTTTACCCCCTCCCTGGCTTATGCCTGATCTTGCCTTCCCTGGTGTCACTAAGATGAACATTTGGCAACAAGACAAAAACAAGGCAACAATCTTTTCTTATGATAAAAGTGATGATAAATGCAATTTTGCATTTGCATTTTGTTTTGAAAAAAGCATCCTCATAAGTTTTTAATAATCTCTGAGAGAGAAAAATCCTTTCTCTACCCTTAGTTAGAACTTTTCCTGCTCTGGCCACCACTAAGCATTGCTAAAGGTCCTTTGACTCTGAACTTATTTTTTTCCCCCAGTCCCTTTCTTTTTTTTTCTTTTTTAAACTAGAAAACGAACATCTCTTGCTTCTGGCATTTAGAAGAGCTTCTATGACTCTTCACTCAATTCTCTACTTGTTGTTTCTTGTTCTTTGGAGAATGACCTGCTTGTCTCTTTGCATGTTAGCGTGACTAGTATAAAAATTAATTTGTGGAATATTTTATGGTATACAGGGTGTAATCCATTTGTTCTTATTTATCAAACTTAAGAATACCACAAGTCATACTGTGCCATAACTGCCTATCTACCCACATACATGTTTATTCAGAAGACCCATGCTAAGCTCATGCTGTGCTGGTAAGCTTTGCCCTAGGCTTGGACACCAGGGAAGGAGGGAGGGAAGATGAAGAGCTCCTTCTGGGTTGGTATTCCTGCTCAGCCACTTCTTGATTGGGCATTTTGGGCAATTAGTTGATCTCTCTAAACTTTACATTCTTCCTCTGTAAAATGCGGGGATCACACTAATACTTCCCCTTAAGGCTGTGGAGGATGGAAAGAGATCATCTGAGTTAAGTGTTTAGCACAGTGCTGTCACAGTTAGTACTGAGAGAGAGCCATTGTTATTTTTTGAGGATAAAGTGGTGAATTACTAGATGCTTCCTTCCTCAAGGAACTGAAGGAGGATTATGGCTCCACTACCTAGTGACATAACTGGGAAGACTGGAGGCATCTCACTCATTCTTGGGGAAGTGTTGGGGGGCAGCAGGAGAAGTGCTGTAGAGAAGGAATTGTCTAAGACCTGGTGGATGAGTAAGTTCTTTTTCTTTTTTTTTTTTTAAGGTTTTATTTCTTTATTTTGACAGAGAGAGAGAGACAGCGAGAGGGAACACAAGCAGGGGGAGTGGGAGAGGGAGAAGCAGGCTTCCCGCCGAGCAGGGAGCCCGATGCGGGGCTCGATCCCAGGACCCTGGGATCATGACCTGAGCCAAAGGCAGACGCTTTAACGACTGAGCCACCCAGGCTCCCCTGGTGGATGAGTAAGAGTTGGCCAACCGGTGGTGGAGGGTGAGAGAGAGAGAAGGTGAAGGAATGAGGCTAGTGGGGGGGCAGGGGAGCCCTGGATTTGGGAACCGTTGTCAAGCGCTAGACGTGACAAGGGCAGGTCCTCGTGGCCAGACCGTGGAGAGGGTGGGAGGCAGTGGGAAGTGTGGCTGGAGGGGCAAGTGAGGACCAGAACGCAAGGTCCCTGTGTTCCAAGCTTAATACCTTGGATTTTATTTACCCTGAGGACAAGTTGTTTTCCTATATCACCACTGGTATGCCTTCCAAGAAGGTACCTAAATAAATTTTTTTAAGTGGATAAAGGAAATTTTTTAGAAATGTTTGTTGCAACACATTAAAAAAAAGTTTTTGTCCCTGGACCTAAATGTCAGAGAATTAATTATACTCTCATTCACAAGACACAGTTGACAGTTGCCCATGTGTACCCTGGTCCCTCTCTTGATTTTTCTTGCCCCCTCATTCCTTATCTGTCCTTTATCCCATTCCCCTCCATTTTGAAGACCATTCCTTATGTGTTTGGTACATGGTCTTAAAGGTGCATGTATCCTTATAAAAGATACAGTGATGGGGCGCCTGGGTGGCTCAGATGGTTAAGTGTCTGCCTTCGGCTCAGGTCATGATCCCAGGGTCCTGGGATGGAGCCCCGCATCAGGCTGCCTGCTCTGCGGGAGCCCTGCTTCTCCCTCTCCCTCTACTGTTCCCCCTGCTTATGCTCTCTTGCTCTCTCTGTCAGATGAATAAATAAAATCTTTAAAACAAAAGATACAGTGTTGTTTTGTGTGTGTTTTTAATTTATCTACTTGGTATTCTGCTGTAAATCTAGTCCTGCATCTAACTTTTTTTTCCTCTTGATATGAAGCATCCATGTTGCTATGTGTACATCTAGTTCCTTTCTTTGAACTTCAGCCAAGTCCACGGACAGTATGCACTGAAGCATTATTTATAATAACAGTTTGAAATAACCTAAAGATTGCACACTAGGGAATGGTTAAGTAACCTTGGTACATTAGCGGTGTGAAATAATGTCTCCATTAACAATATTCTGGATGCCATGGAAAACATGTTTATACAATGTTAAGGGAGAAAAGCAGACAAAATTGTCTTTACTCTGTGAAAACAACCACATAACAAATACATATTCATACAGCCAACGGCTGGAAAGGATCAGAGAAGAATGAAAACAACTCTGCATGTCAGAGCGAGGGAACTGTGGGTAACGTTTCTCTTGTAGCTGTTAGTAATGATTATGGTGTGCCTAAGGATTTAGCTTACACACCATAACTTTTCCCATGGTATATTCTGGGGGGAGGAAAGAGATCAGAGAAATACTAATCTGTTGCCTGTTCCAGCGTTGGCACCTGGATGTCCCTCCTCAGCCAGAGAGGTGTGCTCTGCAGTCGACTTCAACTGCATTTGCCACCCCCCATGGGAAATGGAATTGAAATTAAAACCCTTTTCAGAAGGCCGAGATCTAGTACTGCCAGATTTAACTCTCTTCAAGAAAAGTGAAGTGCATTAAAAGTTATGTAATATTATTCTTCCACTTGTGCAAAAAAGTAAGACATGGACTTGTATGTGCATGGAAAAATTTTGGAAGAACAGAAGAGAAACTGTTAACAGTAACCGCCCCTGGGGAGGAGGATTGGGGATCTGGGGGAGGAGGGAGACCTATTTTTCTTTAAAGTATGAGAGACGCATTTATTATCTTCCTTTTAAAAACCTTGTATCAGGCACCACTTTTTCAAACAAAATTTTATTTTTCAAAGTTTAAATCCCCAAATTTCATGGCTCTTTCTAAACATCGCTTTTCAAATGCAAGTTTTCACTCATTACTAAGAATCTTCCAAAATAACAAATTCGTATTTTGAGCCTCAAATTGTATACACTTCTGTTTAGTGGTGAGGGCTAAACCCGATTTGAGGACTGATGACAATGCGTTACGACATTAATTCCAACGCAGAACGCAACTGATGAGCAAGATACACTGACAAGAGTGACAGCCGGCTCAGGATCGGAGAGCTGTTGCCCTAAACATGGACCTGCCGCAGGCTCTTCCTCCCTGCTGGGTGTGCGCGAATCCTCCAGCGCTCCAGGGGTGGCGGTTCCTCGGTTCTGGGGCTCCGCTCCCCGGGGACCCGGCCTCCCCCGCTCTCGCACCTGGGAACCTCCCGGCCGGCCGCGCCACCACGCCGCGGGCCGGAGGCGACCCCTCCCGCCTCCGCGTCCCAGGGTGGCCGCCCCGCGCGCCGCGTCACTCGGCGCCCTCGGTGAGCACCTACCAACTGGCCGCGCCGCGGAGGGGAGAGAGGCCGCGCGACCCTTCCCCTGCCTGCGGGCGACGCGCCACCACTCGGGCCGCCTCGGCCTGACGCTAAATTTAAAAACTTAACAGGCGCGGGTGGCTGGCTCCGGAAACGAAAGTAAACTCGTCCCCGCGGGCCGCCTCCCGGGCTCTGCCGGCGCCTCGGCGCGCCGCGCTACCCGGAATAGACCTTTCTCCCGCCATTTTCCTCCGGCTCCTAGCAGGCCCCGCGCCCCGCGGGTGAGGCCTGCCGCCGCCGTGCCTGGAGGCGTCGGGCTCGCGCCCCGCGGAGAACGCAGGCGGCATGGACTGCGGGAACGGGGCTCGCGCCCGGCAACATGTATTCCTGCTTCCAGGTAAACACGCCCGCCCCGGGCGGCGGCGCGCCTCGCCCGGCTTCCTGCCCGCCCGGCCTCCTGCTCGCCCCGCCCGGCCCGAGAGCGCGCGGAGCGGCCGACGAGGACGGCGCGCGGCCGGACTTCCACCTGGAGCGGCGGGGCGCGCCCCCCGTCGGCCCTCGGCGCCCGCGGCCCGACGCGCGGGGTCGCGGTAACCCCGCGGAGCCACGCGCCGTGGGCAGTGGTGGTGCGCGCCCCTCGGACCCGGGTCCGGGACGGGATTCCCTTCCCAAAGCGTTTCGCCTCATCTTGGTCGCTGGTTACAGCTAGCTGCCGTTTTCACACCCCAAATCCGAAAGCGCAGAAACGCACCGAGCGTATTACCTCTCCTGGGGTGGGCCGCAGGAGTGGCCCAGGCCTGCGGGGAACGACATGGGCTCAGGGTCTCGCGGCACGCTGTGGGGCCCTGGAGTGTCTGCTTTAGGGCGCAGTTTGCTGTCCCCTGCTCTCTGCACTCGGCAGCTGGCCCCCTCTGGCTTCCCACTGGATCGGATCCAGTGGACCCGGAAAAAGCTCGGACACTGCACTTTTTTAACTGGGCCCCAGCCCTGGGCCGGGCCTTGGGTGGGCATGCAGGAGGGAAGCCAGATGGTGATAGGGGTTAGGACAAAGGTGGTCCAAAGAAATTCAGGTGGGTAGATCATGAAGGAATGCTGGCGCCAAGCCTTTTCAGCCTCCCCCTGGGTGATGAGGAACCGTCCAGGGTCTGCAGGGGCTTGTAAAAAATGGATAGTCATCCAACATCCATGAGCCCGTCCGCACATGATGGGCTCCAGTAAGTGTCAGAATAAAAGGAGTTTGGGACTAGGGAGTGCAAGTCAGAAAAGTTTGGCCCTCTTACAGGATGATACATTGATGTGATGGCATAACATTGGAAATAAGGAAAATCCTTTGCGCACTGCATTTAATTTTTAGATTTAGCTCAGCAAATGCATTATTTTTACCGCAAATAATACTCTGATGATGTTACAGTTACCCAGCAACCTCGACTTTTTTGATGAATATTGAAAATTATTATGTGACAGTCCGTCAAGAATAATTTTTGTGTGTACGTTTAACTTGTTCTTCCTTTATAAAGAGGTATAGCATACAGTATACAAATTTAAGTGCAATTCAATGAATACACCCTTGTATTTTCATTATGTATACATATGTACACACCCCTGTAATGATCCCCCAAGTCAAGGTGTAGAACTTTTTCAGCAAGCTCATGCCTGTTGCTAGATAGCCTTAGTAACCTCTGTCTCTAGAGATTTGTTTTGCCTGTTTGGATAAGTGTGTACTCCTTTAGGTCTGGCTTCTTTCACGCAGCATTATATCTGTGAAATTCATCCATATTGTGTGTAGCAGTGGTTTGGTTTATTGGTTGGTTGGTGTTTTCATTGCTGTATACTTTACTGTGTGAACATCCATGTTTATTTCCTCCACTGTCGGTGGGCATTTGGATTGTTTCCAGTTTGTAACTATTGTGAGTTACACTTCTAAGAACATTCTTTTATGAGGCTTTTGGTAGACTGAGGCACTCATTTCCCTGAGGTGTATACCCAGGAGTGGAGTTGCTGGTTCTGGGTACCTGTACGTTCAGCTTTAGTACATGCTGCTAACCGGTTTTTCGAAGTGGTTATACCGACTTATACTCCCACCTGCAGTTTATGAGAGTTCCCATTGGTCCACATCCTCCCTACACATGTCTGTATACTAAAACCATTAAAGCAAAATTCAGGGTTTTGGCAGAATCTAGCAAAGGCCTACGTGGATACATGCTTTACGTTAGAAAAATCCCCTTCTTGCCTTTGTCACACCAATTCGATGAGATTTTGAGGGTAGGAACTCTAATCATTCTTTCAGAATGAAGGGCATTGTTATGATTCAGGTACACACAAGGGCTGATGATAATTTGAGTTTCTTATTTCGTTCTGTTTAACCGGTATTGACATTTTCATTCTTTTTTTATTTTTTTTTTAAGATTTTTATTTATCTATTATTTGACAGAGAGAGAGAGACAGTGAGAGAGGGAACACAAGCAGGGGGAGTGGGAGAGGGAGTAGCAGGCTTCCCGCTGAGCAGGGAGCCCGATGCGCAGCTTGATCCCAGGAGCCTGGGATCATGACCTGAGCTGAAGGTAGACCCTTAACGACTAAGCCACCCAGGTGCTCTGACATTTTCATTCTTGAGGTGTGTTTGTATCCTCACTGTATTAAACACAGAAACCTTCAAAATAATTAAATATCGATTGCATCCCTGAAAATTGTAGGTTTAATGTGTTTACTTCTGGGCTGTGAGAATTTCATTCAGCTTCCTGTTCAAAGTTGAGATGTCCTATGACCTTTGGACTTACTGGAGGAGGCTGGGCGGGCTGTTCAGGACCCGTGTGGTCAGGCAGGCAGGTTCTCTGTAACACAACTTGAGCTGCCTGCTCCTGTCCTTCTAGCCGGCTTTTACTGCCACCTGCAGGCTCTGAGTGGACAAACATTGGTTAGACTTGGTATTGGTCACCTGGGCAACTGGGCCCCACCCCCCCGAGTTTTTGATACCGTTCTGGGAGGGGGCCCAAGAATGTGCATTTCAGACGAGTTCCCAGGTGAAGCCGATGCTGCTGGTGTGCGGACACCACTGTTCCTGCACTGAGACAGCCCGACAGCCCTTGGGAGTGGGCTACGAGGCAGGATTGGCCAGCCTCAGGTGTAGCTGTCTTTGTGGGGGCCAGAATTAATATCATCAGGGGTGCACATGGAAGCACAGGCCAGGAGTCCTGTCTTCACAGATACGTATTTGTTGGTGTTTTCTCTTTTTCCTAGCAGAAGAGAATTAAGCCCCGGTAAGTTGTACATTTGAGAGAAGGAGACTATATCCTGGTTGGAGTGAGCACCATAGGTACAGAGAAGTTGGGCTCTTAAGAAAGAAAACAAAAATTGTATAAGAATTTTTCAAAAGCATTTGGTGGAAGCACTTTTACTCAGTTTTAGAAACTTTCTGGGATCCGAAGAGCTTACTCTGTATACTGGAACATGAGCACGTTAACCAAGAGGCAAACAGAACTTTAGAGATTGATCCATGAGACAAATGCAAAGCCAGTGGACCTTGGAATGATACTTTTTTCCTGCCATTTAATTCGTGTTGTTTATCAAGTTGCCTACAATAACACTGTGTTATATGTTGACGGATATATTATAAAGCACTATTTAGGCCTCTTGTTTTCAGTGTCTTTGGAGAAGTCCAATGTCCCAGAAAAACAAAAGCTGGAACTTGGAAGGGATACTTGTGAAGTAGTCCGACTTAGGCCCTTGACTTTCATAGGTCAGTGGGGACAGAACTGCCTCCCATTTCAGCTAGGTAAGCATTTCTTGTAGTTTGGAATAGTCTTAAATGTTTCTCCAAAATGACCTGGGGGTTACTAGCCTATTTGCAGTTTTAGTTACTGTAACATCTCTAGACCATTATTAACGTCTCTGTTTTTTAAAATTTGGTATAAGTTTCTATCCCTCTTTGCTGCCCCAAAAGTAAATGTTTAAGTCATATTTTTAATATTTTTCTCTAGTGCAAGTTTTGTACACTGGTCAGTTCTGCTAAGTTGGAATGGGCCCCAACGTGAAAGGTGGGCTGGGAACAGGTTCACTGAGTGTAGGATACAAGATTGTGTGGATTGCTGGCATGGCTGAACCCTGTCACTGCACCAGCTCCAAGGAGATGTCAGAACATTGGGAAACCCTAATGTTGTGTGAGGGACAAAAGGAGGGACAGAAATGATCTCAGGACCACTAAATTCATTTGGGCTAGCTTAGTCTGAAAGCATCTCTCAGCCGGCCCCCTGATTAAACAGCCCCCAGATCAAAGTAGACCACATCCCATCTTCAGCTGTAGACAGGTTTTTGCAATGATGTTATTCCCCTTTATCTCAAGAAAACACACGTTAGAAAGTATTTTAGGGAGAGTCATATTTGTTACTTATTTCCCCACAGCATGAATAATGTCAGCTTTTGCGGGCTTAGAGGATGGGTGGCTTTTTGGGAAATAAGAATCACAGGTGGCCTGCCTGCCTTAGTCGTTCCAAATATATTAATGAGCCTTTTATGAGAGTCAGCATGATAATCGCAAATAATAATATCAGATTTGTCTCTCCAAATAGACTACAAAAATAGATTTGAAAGGATTATATGAATGCAGGCTTTAGAACTAAGTTCTAAGTAAATGATTAAAAAAGAAATCAAATTTAAAAGGCAAAACTGATTTTCCTATTTAATGGTCGAGACAATTTATATTAATGTTATTTCTGATTAGAGTCCTATAGCTTTTTAGTAAGCCCACAAGAAACACCTCTTATTTGGGGGGAAAAAAAAAGTAACAGTTGAAAGTATATGGTAAAGGAAGAATTGCTGAGACCTAAATGACTTCTCAGTGACCCTAAAAAAACACATAGAACTTTTTTCCTCCTTTACTTAGGTAAGGGCACAGGGTTAATCTCAGAAGAAAAAATCTAAGCCGGTTTTTTGTTCTTTGGCAACACTGTTTGCATGCGGGCATATTTGTGTTTGGAAATATAGCTTGTGGCTTGAAAGCTTCGTTACTTTCAGAAGAGCTTATTCACAGGGGAGGAACCTGTCCTTAGCTTGGTGAGGGATGGGGAATAATTCAAGTGCTGATTTTAGACAACCTCTGACTAATTAAGCTCAGCTTCTTGGAAGGTTTGTCTTTTACTGAATAGTTTTCTGCAGGCCTTCAGCAGTGTGGGAGTCTCTGAGTTCTCCAGCATGGAGCATGTTTGATATTTCCCACACAAATCCCGAGGCTGGTTTTGTCTTTACAAAGTTGTTTTTGGTGGGAGCCCCACTGACCTTTCTCAGATGGCCATTCGATCTGCTCCCTTTGCTGGCGGAGCGAGTTCTGAAGGGGGTGGACTTAATCAGTTGTCAGTTGGTGTAATCAAGCTGAGCCTGATGTTGTCCTGCTAGTAATTGTAC